GTCCCCTTCCCGGAGGCGCGGCGGGTCCGGATGCTGAGCCGCTCCCGGCGCCTCCTGCTGCCGGGCGAGGGCGAGGCGGCGGCGGCGGCGGCGGTGACGCTCCGAGCCGTCCGCAGCCGCAGCCCCGACGCCCAGGAGCGGCGCCCGCCGGACGCGCAGCCGGTGAGCCCCTCGGAGGGTCCCGGGCTGGGCTGGGCTGGGCTGGGGGGCGGCCGCGGGGCCGTCCGCTCCCGCCACGGGCTGCCCTCGGGGCTCCGGCCAGGCGAGCCCCCTTCCTGCAGCCGCGGACCGCAAGGAGGGCGGCGGCGGCGGCGCGCTGCACCCGCGGCCCGGGAGCTGGAATGCGGCCCGGCCTGTTTGGGGAAGTGGGGCGGGCGGGCGGGCGAGCGGGCGTCGGGGAAGCGGAAGGCGCAGCAGCAGGTTGGCGGGGAAGGCGAGGCCCGACGGCGCCCGCTCCCTCGCCGCCCCCCACCCACCCGCCCATGAAGGGTCTCCTCCGCCTGGGGGGCTGCCTGGAACCGGGGGCGGCGGGCCAGGGACCCCCGCTGACGCGCACCCGCTGGTACTGCTTGCCCGCCAAGGTATAGGGGGGGGCTTGGGGGCGGGACGGGGGGTCTCCCGGCCGTCTGCAGCACGGGGGTGGACTAGAAGACCTCTAGGGTCCCTTCCAGCTCGGTTCTATCCTCTTCTTCCTCCTCCCTCCCCACCCCCCGCAGGCCCCGTTGATCTCGTGGGAGGAGGCGGAGGAGGGCGCCGTCTACACCGTCAGCGCGCGGGCTCCGGAGGGGCGCCGAGGCGGCGCCGGGAACGGGGTAAGTGGGGGTGGACTCGACCGGGGGGACTCGGGGCGCCGCTTCCTCCGCTCCCAACCTCCCTCCTTCTCTCCCGCGGCAGGTCGAGGGGGCGTCCGGCGTAGCGGAGTTCCCCGCCGCCCCCGCGCAGTCCCGGGCGCTGAAAGCCGGCTCGCTGCCCCGCCTGGTGCGGCACCTGCTGGAGGCTCCGGCCGTCGGGGACGCGGGCTACCGGCCGGCCTTCCTGGCCACCTACCGCAGCTTCGCCCAGCCCGCCGCGGTCCTGGAGCTCCTGCTGGAGAGGTGGGCGTCGGGGGTCTCCGGGGGGGAGGCCTTGGGGGTCTCTGGGCGTGGTGGATTCCCTTAGAGACCCAGGCGGGGAGCCCCTGCGCCCGCCTTGCCCACCCTCTTTCTCAGCCTGGCCCGCCTCACAGGGCTGTAGGGAAGATCACGCGGGAACAGTTAACCAGTGGAACCTCCTGCCTCCAGAAGCGGTGAACGGTCCAACACTGGAAGTTTTTAAGAAGAGACTGGACGGCCATTTGTCTGAAATGGTGTAGGGTTCCTGCCTGAGCAGGGGGTTGGACTGGATGACCTCCAAGGTCCCTTCCAACTTTATTTTTTATTGTTATTATTATTATTTATTATTATTATTATTATTATTATTATTATTATTATTATTATTATTATTATTATTATTATTATTATTATTATAAGTGGTATAGGGTTTCCTGCCTGAGCAGGGGGTTGGACTAGATGACCTCCAAGGTCCCTCCCAACTTTATTTTTTATTATTATTATTATTTATTATTATTATTATTATTATTATTATTATTATTATTATTATTATTATTATTATTATTAAGTGGTATAGGGTTTCCTGCCTGAGCAGAGGGTTGGACTAGATCACCTCCCAGGTCCCTTCCAACTTTATTATTATTTATTATGAAGAGACTGCACAGTCATTGGTCTGAAATGGTGTATAGGGTTTCCTGCCTGAGCAGGGGGTCGGACTAGATGACCTCCAAGGTCCCCTTCCAACTTTAATATTCTTATTATTATTTAAACACTTCTCGGCCCGCCTTTCTGGCTTCTGAAGCTGCTCCGTGTTTTTTCCCCACTGGAAGGCTCCAGGCGGTGACCCGATCCCATGCTTGCGGCCCCCAAAAGACGGAGGACCTGCGGCGGTGAGTCCCCCCTTCCTTCTGGCCCTGGTCCCTCCCCAACCCCCCCCCCACACACTACTGGTAAAATTGCGGGATTCTCCTTCCGTGGTGGAGGGTGGGTGAGCCGGCCGGCGCTGCCATGCTCAGAGGCACCCTTGTTCTGGATTGGGCCCTTTTATCCCCCGTGGGCCCCCGTCCCTTGCAGGGGCCGTTCCTCGGCTTGCCGGTCGCCACCGAGGGTGGGGAACACGGCTGGGAGGGGGGGGAGACAGGCCGTCCCACTGCATTCCCCCCCCTTTGTAGCTGCTCAGCAGGGTTGGGTGGTCTTTGCGCCCCTCGTAGGGGCTGGACCAAGAGCAGCAGCTGTTATGTCTGAAGGCTGTGTAGAGCCTCCAGCGTCCGGAGCAGTCAATCCCAGAATATCGGGGTTGGTCAGCAAGATCATCCCTCCCGGGGGATGCTCGCAGCTAGGGGTTGGGGGGTCCAGCCTTGATCGCTCCTCCGTCTCCCCCTTGCCCCCCCCCAGAGCCCTGGCCGCGCTGCTCTGCTCCTGGCTGGACGGCTACCCCCAGGACTTTGTGGGGCTGGAGCCCCACCTGCGGGAACAGCTGGTCAGCTGGCTGCACTGGGCCTGGGGGAGCAGCCCGGGGCCCGAGAAGAGCCTGCCGGACCCCCCGAGCAGGAGAGAGCCCCCCGCCGCCCCGCACGGACCCGCCCAAGATGGGGACCCCGACCCCCACTACGTCTTGGGACTGCAGGCGGAAGACGTGGCTGCACACCTCACTGCGCAGGACGCGGTGAGTGCGGGGAGGGGGGGCTGGGAGGGGACTCTGCCTGCAACACCCCCCCCCCAATTCCAGCTGTGGCACCTCCCCATGCTGGCCGGCTCAGAGGTGGGTGATTTTGGGGTGCGCCCTGCCAGCGGGCAAATGCTTATTATGGGGGTTCAGGCTTCTCATCTGGCTGAGCTGCCCCCCCCCATTTTATTTTCCTCTGTGGAATAGCAGAATTTTTTTCCTGCAGAGAGTAGCGCCCCCTGGTGGCTGTGTGCCTCCATTGCAGGCTCCCCAGAAGCCTGACTGGCTCACCTGGCACAGAGTTGGGAGGTGGGTGATTTTGGGGTGCGCCCTGCCAGCGGGCAACGGCTTGCTTATTATGGGGGTTCAGGCCCCTCATCTGGCTGAGCTGCCCCCCCTTTATTTTCCTCTGGAATAGCAGAATTTTTTTCCTGCAGAGAGTTAGTAGCGCCACCTGGTGGTTGTGTGCCTCCATTGCAGGCTTGCCGTTTTCATGCTGTTCTCCTCCTACCTGTGGCTCATTTTTACTTATTAAATTTGTTTGCTGCCCGTCTGGCTGCAAGGCAACTTGTCTTGGTGTGTGTGTGTGTGTGTGTTTTGGCAATATACCTGTTGCCCCAGTGGAGTCTTTGGGGGCTGCTGGTCAAAAAAGTCAAGATGGGAAATAGGACTGTTAGACTCAAATGTTGTTGGAAAACGATAAAAAAGGGATTAACTGGCTTAATAATTAGAATTTAGATTTATAAGGGAAATGGAAATTAAATACTAGGAATCAGCCTTGAACTATTGCTTATTTATTTATTTATTTATTAAATTTATAGCCCAGAAAATATAGATGATGGATTTGAGACAATAAAGCTTAATCTACTAGTAAGGTGTGATGTACGAGGACGAGAAATAGAAAATGTTTATGAAATAAAATCTATATAAATAAAAATGTAAATGTTCGTTTGTTCAAAATCTTAAATCTCCGAAAGTTCTTCACCGATTGCTTTGAGATTTTGACACAACGTTGCATTCGAATGCGCGCGTGTTTCTGTATACCTACTATTATATAGATGTCACACCTGTAACAGGTAAAAACATTTAACCTGTCTGAGCCACAGCAACGCGTGGCCCGGTACAGCTAGTAACAATATATTTAACTAAGTAATATGTGTATTTTAGTTATCATAAGTTTTGTGTAGCGAAATAAAGGAAACTTGGGTTACCAAAATTTGAAGATTATGGATGTAAAAGATTAAACTGGAATACTGTAATTAAAAACTAAGGATTAGGTAAAATTTAAAAACAGGATATGGATATGTATAAGTAAAAATAGACTGATAAATGCTTTAGCTGAGCTTGTTATGGTTAGAAATTTACTAGTTTAAGTATGTTATATTAAATGTTAAGGGAAATAGAGAAGGAATTCTTGATAATGTAACCTGAAATATGTACTAAATATGTACTAAAAAGTTTGTTACCCAGTCACCACGATGCTTTCTAAATACTTGGATGTTAAACTGGAAAACTAATAAAGCTTGTTATATATATATATATATATATATATATATATATATATATATATATATATATATATATATAGTCAAGATGGCGGCCACCAGGGTGTGACGGAAGAGCTTCGCTGTTTCAGGAGAGGAGGGGTCCCTGAGTCCACCTCTACTGACCCTTACTATTTTGACCGTTAGCACTGGCCATGTATTTTTCAGGCGTATTTCTTTCCTCCATGTGGACTAGAATCTTGGTTAAATGAAAGTGAAGGTTACGATCCTTTGTGGATCCTGCCGTGTGTTTCCGTGGTCTGTTTTGGGGGTGGGGAGGGACACGACAGGCCTCCGGTGACCCCCCCGTCTTTGGCCGTTTCCCCAACAGGATCTCTTCCTGCGCCTGGTGCCCCACGAGTGCCTGGGCTCGGCCTGGTCTCAGCGGGATAAGAAGGGCCACCAGGGGGCCTGCCCCACCGTCCGGGCCACCGTGGCCCAGTTTAACCTCGTGGCCAACGCCGTGATCTTCTCCTGCCTGTGGGACACGGGGCTGCGGGCCGCCCAGCGAGCACGGCTGCTGGAGAAGTGGATCTGCGTGGCCGAGGTGGGTCCCGATCCGGCCCTCCCCGGGATGGTTTGGGGATCCGGACTCCAAACTCTCCCCACCTCTCTCTCTCTCTGCCCCCCCAGGAGTGTCTCCTCCTGCGCAACTTCTCCTCGCTCTACGCCGTGGTCTCCGCCCTCCAGTCCACGTCTCTGCACCGGCTGAAGCGGACCTGGGAGGAGACCTCCAGGTGGGTGAGAAGCGGGTCAGAAGCGCTGCCCTGCCCCAGACCTGTGGAGTGGGGGGACAAAGAGGCCCTGCGCCCTTGCAACAATTAACCGGTGGAACTACCTGCCTCCAGAAGTTGTGAATGGTCCAACACTGGAGGTTTTTAAGAAGAGACTGGGCAGCCATTTGTCTGAAAGGGTCTAGGGTTTCCTCTCTGAGCAGGGGGGTTGGACTAGATGACCTCCAAGGTCCCTTCCAACTAATGAAAGACTAGGGGTGACATGGTAGCAGTGCTCCAATATCTCAGGGATCCAGCTATTCTCCAAAGGGCCTGAAGGCAGGACAAGAAGCCACGGGTGGAAACTAATCAAGGAGAGAAGCAACCTAGAACTAAGGAGAAACTTCCTGACAGTGAGAACAATTAACCAGTGGAACCACCTGCCTCCAGAAGCGGTGAATGCTCCAACACTGGAGGTTTTTAAGAAGAGACTGGACAGCCATTTGTCTGAAATGATATAAGGTTTCCTGCCTGAGTAGGGGGTTGGACTAGATGACCTCCAAGGTCCCTTCAACTTTATTATTATTATTATTATTATTATTATTATTATTATTATTATTATTATTATTATTATTATTATTATTATATGGTATAGGTTCTCTTGCTTGAGCAGAGGTTGGACTGGATGACCTCCAAGGTCCCAACTATTATTATTTTATTATTGTTGTTGTTGTTACTATTACTATTGGGCTGGGGGAGGTCACAACTGGAAGGGCCCCGGCCAAAATGGAGATGTGGGGTGGGGGAAAGAGGAGACCCCCCCCAGCTAGAAAGGGACTTTGCTTCTGACAAGCAAAGTCAGCTTATATATGAGGAAAGGTGCTTTGATTGACAGCCCTGAAAAGGCTGAGGGGAGCGCTTCTCCAGACGCGCCTAAAAGCCCCCCCCGCTAATAGGGCTGGGAGAAGAGAATTTGAACACAGGACCCCTTGGGAAGCAGGTGCCATCCCTGGAAGGCCCAGATCCTCCGCCTCTGAGAGCCGCTGTGGAGGATGGGATCTGTGTCCCCTTGGAGGGCCCCCCCCATTTTCAGCAAGGAGCCCTTAGACCCGGGTGTTCCTGTCGGACCCAATTGGAAACTGATCAAGGAGAGAAGCAACCTGGAACTAAGGAGAAATTTCCTGACAGTGGGAACAATTAACCAGTGGAACCACCTGCCTCCAGAAGCGGTGAATGCTCCAACCCTGGAAGTTTTTAAGAAGAGACTGAGCAGACATTTGTCCGAAATGGTGTAGGGTTTCCGGCCTGAGCAGGGGGTTGGACTAGATGACCTCCAAGGTCCCTTCCAACTTTATCAGCCTTCTTCTCTGCTTGGCAGGGACTCCTCCCGTTGCTACGAGGAGCTCAGCGCCATTTGCTCGGAGCAGGATAACTACAGCCAAAGCCGCCAGCTTCTCTTCCAGGTAAGGCCCCCCCCGGGGGCGCTCTCTTCCCTGCTCCCTCCCCGGCCTGCGAGTTGGGGCTGCGATTGCCGCCGGGGAGGGGCTGGAGATGCAGGTATTTCCCCCTTTCCCCCCCCTCCCAGGAATTTCAGCAAGGGAAGGTCTACGCAGCTTCCCCCGTCACCCAGTTCACGGTTTTCCGAAAGGCGCTTTTTAACCAAATGGCCCCTGGACTTCCTTGTGTCTCCGAAGACGTTTCGCTTCTCATCCAGGGAGCTTCCTCAGTTCTGACTTGCGTCGTGGGGAGTGGAAAGATTTTATACTCCTTGCAGACAGCGCAGGGGTCTTCAAACATGGCCCTTGGATGACTTGTGGACTTCAACTCCCAGAATTCCTCAGCCAGCGTGTACACGCTGGCTGAGGAATTCTGGGAGTTGAAGTCCACAAGTCATCCAAGGGCCACGTTTGAAGACCCCTGTTTTAGGGAGCCCGTGAGGCCACTTGGAAGGCTTACCTGTGTCCTCAGGGTCACCTGAGTGGTGCAAATGGGTGTGGAGCCATCTTGGAACTGCTGAAAGGGCCGTGTTGTAAACTGGAGATGGACGGTGTTGTATCCCTCCCCCTCTGTTGAGGGAGGGGTGTTCAGTTTTGGCCTAGGTGGCCTCTTTGACCCCTCTCTCAAGCCAGCAGTCCTCTCTGTCCAAAAATCTGGACTTTTCGAAAGAGCAGCCTTAGTCTCTTAAAGGCAGATGGACGGCTGAATCTTTTCCTGACGGGTTGATTCTCCTATGCTGTGCCAAGCGTTTGTGAAGTGGTTGTTTTGTTTCCCCAATGCAGAGATTTGCACACGGCTCACTGCATTGTACTGCATATGGCACAAACAGAGCAAGGGAAGGAATAAGAATAGATTGGAATAGAATAGAAAAAGGAATAGAATAGAAAAAGGAATAGAATAGAATAGAATAGAATAGAATAGAAAAAGGAATAGAATAGTAAAAGGAATAGAATAGAAAAAGGAATAGAATAGAGAAAGAAATAGAATAGAAAAAGGAATAGAATAGTAAAAGGAATAGAATAGAGAAAGAAATAGAATAGAAAAAGGAATAGAATAGAATAGAAAAAGGAATAGAATAGAGTAGAATAGAATAGAAACTTCCTGGCAGGGAGGACAATTAACCAGTGGAACAGCTGGCCACCAGAAATCGTGGGCGCTCCATCACTGGAGGTTTTTAAGAAGAGATTGGACAGTCACTTGTCTGAGATGGTCTAGGTTTTCCTGCTTGAGCAGGGGGCTGGACTAGAAGACCTCCAAGGTCTCTTCCAGCTCCTATTCTATTCTTTTTATAGGGCATTTTTATATCTGCGTAAGCTGCTTTTGATCGCCGTGTGCGAGGAGGCGGCCATATAAATTTTCCAAATAAATCTGTGTCTTATTTAAGTTTCCATTTTGGCTTTTCATTTTAATCCCACTTAGCTTTGGGGAATAGAAAATGGAATAGAATAGACTAGACTAGACTAGACTAGACTAGAATAGAATAGAATAGAATAGAATAGAATAAGGAATAGAATGGAATGGAATAGAACAGAATAGAAAAAAGAATAGAATAGAAAAAAGAATAGAATAGAAAAAGGAATAAAATAGAATAGAAAAAGGAATAGAATAGAATAGAATAAGGAATAGAAAAAAAATATAAAATTTCTATACCACCCATTTCACCCAAGCGACTAACCTAAGTTTCTTGGTTAGGGCCTTTGTTTCCTGCTTGGTTGTTTGTCTGGTGTTAATCCCTGCTTATCTGGGTGTTGGCTGTTGGAAGGGATCTGTTTTTTGCTATCTTTATTTCCTCATTAGCGTTCTTGCCGTCTCTTCTGAATGGCAAGCGAATACATTTTATCTCTGTGTGACTCTTGGTGGCTGATTTGTCGGAATGCCAACCTTGCAGGAATTCCTTGGGGTTTTTTTTAGATTTAGCTTGTTCTAGGGTGCATATATATGTGTGTGTGTGTGTGTGTGTGTGTGGGTACATGCATAATTCTGTATTATTTATTTTTGTTATGTTTACGCAGTGTATATTGGGGTGGCGACCTTTTGAGAGGTGCCTGCAACGAAATTTCATTTTAACGGATGTCGACTAGCGAACGTCCAAAGTGACTATAAAGTTATTATTCTTATTCTATACGGTCAGGTCTGTCCGCAGGCTAAGAAACTGAGGAGTTTTCATTGTGTCTTTTGATTGCCACGTGGTGTTCGTGGATACACACCTGCTAGTCTTCTGCCTGTTTGTCCCACACCAGGGGTGTCAAACGGCCACCCCACGGGCCAGACGCGTCATGCGGAAATCGTGCCCGCCCCATTGCCGGCAATGGAAAAAAAAGTCGCGACACGTCACGTGACGTTGCGAGTTGGACAGCCCTGTCCTACACAATGGCTGTTACCGTCTTTGCACTGTATGTTGTAAATGGCCCGTTTTTTTTCTCTGGGGCTGCTGGATGTTTTGAATTATTTAATGGGTTTTATTTGCTTTATGCGTTATGATGATGCCGTGCGGTTACAACGGTCCTTTTCGTTTCCGAGATATTTTCGATTTACGGCAACGTTACTCTTTTCACAGCTCATGCTGCGGTTGTGTTGTAGGGGTGTTGAGTGGTCAGGCGCCCTTTGATAAAGGTGTGTGTGCGTATCCCTTTTGCTGGAAAATGGTGGTCCGTTTCCTTTTTGTGTGTGTTCTTGGTTGCCGCCGTGTGTTTGTGCTTGTCTGAATCATGTTCTTATGAAGTCAAAAACAGATCATGCCAAACAAATCTTATTGCCCAGGGGTTGGGGACCTCTGCTGTGTCTAATGGGCAACAAAGCCCATCCTCCTTGCCGCTGCCAGTGTGACCCCCCCTTGCATAAGGAAATGGAGCTCAGCGCCCCAAATCTGCGTTCTTTTGGGGTGAGGAGCGGGGTGGAGAGGGGGGGCGAGTAGAGAAAGCAGCTTTTGGGGCTGCTGTGTTTTTGCGCTTTTGGCTAAACGGGGCTTTGCAGCCGGCGTTTGTGTGATATATAATAATATAATGTAATGTAATGTAATATAATATAATTAATATAATAATATAATATAATTAATATAATAATAATATAATAAATATAATATAATATAATATAATATAATATAATATAATATAATATAATATAATATAATATAATATAATATAATATAATATAATATAATATAATATAATATAATATAATATAATATAATATAATATAATTAATATAATATAATATAATATAATATAATATAATATAATATAATATAATAAATATAATATAATATAATATATAGTTGATATATGATTAATATAATGATTTAATATAATTAATATGATATGATATACACTATACTATACTATAATATGCTAATATAATATAATATAAATATAATATATAATATAAATATAATATATAATATAAATATAATATAATATAATATAATATAATATATATGATTAATATGATATAATATTAATGTGATATAATGTAATATAATATAATTGATAGGATATGATTAATATTATAATTAATATGATATAATATGATATAATATAATATAGTAATGTAATATAATATAATATATATAATTGATAGGATATGATTAATATGATTTAATATAATTAATATGATATGATATATACTATACTATACTATAATATGCTAATATAATATAATATACTAATAATATAATATAATATAATATAATATAATATAATATAATATAATAATATAATATAATATACGGGTCTGGATGGGGAGGAACAGACTCAGGCTCAACCCTTCCAAGACCGAGTGGCTGTGGTTGCCGGCGTCTCGGCATAGTCAGCTGACTCCATCGCTGACTATAGGGGGTGAAATTTTGGCCCCCTCAGAGAGGGCACGCAACTTGGGCGTCCTCCTGGATCCACGGCTGACATTGGAAGATCATTTGTCGGCCG